TTTCGGGTTTCGGGCTGGAGGGGGGGGGGGATTGCGTGGAGGGGTTGTAGGTTTAGGGGCTTGTGGGGAATTTGTGGGTTGAGGGCTCAGGCTAGGGGGACTTTAGTTTAGGCGACTTTATGGTTTAAGGCCTCAACAAGGCCCTAAAGGGCTTTGGGGGGGTTAGGAGGCTTAGGGGTCTTGGAATTGAGTTGTGATGCATCACTTCTTGTCGTTCGCAGGGTGCCCATAAAGGCCCACCCCCCCCCCCTCCCCCCCCCCTCCCCCGTTTATTTATTTGTTATTGTTGCCTTTTTTTTGGGGGGGGAAGGGGTTAGGGTTAGAAGGGGGGTTAGCCCTTACCCTAAGCCTTAAACCCTACATCCTAAAGGTCCTAAACCTTCAGCTGACCAGGGTTTAGGGCTTGGAGTTGAATCCTGAGCCTTGGATCCCAGAAGGTCTTAGGGTAAACCCGAAACCCTAACCCTGAACCCTAAACCCTAATCCCTAATCCCTAATCCCCTGTAAGGGTTGAAAGATCTCGGCGATTTTGGGCTTTGGCATGAGTACCGCATGAGTACCAACGCTGTTCGACCCGAAGAAGGCCGTGTGGTACAATGCCAAGACTGGGGTCAGCCTTTGCTATGGGACCTTGGTTCCTCAGCTACATGACGCGTTCGTCCAGAAAAAGCAGGAGCTGATGAAGGACGCACCAGCTGCCGCCGCAGCAAAGGCAAAGACATCTGCCAAGCGTCGCCGCAAGTCGTAAGAAGTGCCTGCTGCGTTGCTCCGTGTGCCTGCAAGTGCGCAACCAGCTTCAGGGTGACTCATGACCAGTTGTGAAACTGTCTTGCGGGCGGACCTGGAGCTGCAGTGTCCTGGCGATTTATGTGCTGTCTCCCCCTGAACAAAGATTAGTCGCCCGGTAGCTTTCACATTGCGCTAGCTAACGTGCAGAAAGCCAAGATCTGAAAAGCTCAAGTTTTGGAATGTGGCTCGAGCCCGCCTAGAGTGTATAGGCTAGGCTATGGAATAAAGATAAACTATTGGGTCCAAAGCTTTTGAAGTTGGGAAGGTGGGGCTGGGTTCCCAAAATCTTGGAGTTCAAGAGTGAGAAAGCGGCACGGACCGCTAGGCCCAAAACCACTGGGAATTCATAGGGAGGAAGTTAAACCAAGACTAAGAATATTCACGACACTAGCACTATGAAAGAATGCCACCAGTACTACCCATCATAAGACTGATATTAGTCATCAAATTCGAACAATAAGCAGTATATCGAAGACCGCACTAGTCTATACATTTTATTATTTGCATTGTAGTCTTATGGGCTTGGCCCCCGCCTTTTCGTTCTGGTGCTCATTGAGGCTAAACATAATATTTCTCAGTACCCAGAAGCTAGCAAGTAGTATTCCTCGGTACCCAGAATATTCGAATCTCAAAATGCCATAACTAACATACATACACATACACATACACATACACGTACATATACACATGTACATGTACACATACATATACATATAAAGACCTATATATATATATGTATACATATAAATGTACATAGATATAAAGTTGCGGCCAGCGCCCACATTCCGTAACATACCAATTCCACAGTCCACAATTCCATTACTTTGTTGGGGGGAGACATTGATGGGGCACATCTCAGGAAGTCATAGATCCTAAGCTTTGAGCGCGTAGTACAGGACACCAGAAGTGTAGAAACTACAAAAGTGCATATTTGGGGGCACCAGCTGATCGTATCTTACATGGCACGAAAACCTACCGAGCTACGCATAGATGTCCACGCCTATCTCGTTGCAAGGGTACAGGGTTCCATGTCGTGAGGGGGCAAAAACCCCAAAAACAACACACACGGGCTTACAAAACGCGGGGCCCCACAGTGTTCCACTCTCCAGAAAGCTGGGGAATGCTCAATTAATTGTTAAGCTGTTTTGGTAGTTTAAACCCTAAACCTTGAACCCTAAACCCGATACCCTATACCCTAACCTTAAACCCTGAACCCCGAACCCCGAACCCTAAACCCTAAACCCTAAATAAACCCTAAACCCTAAGCCCTAAGCCCTAAACCCTAACCCCCCACACGATGACTTCCAGGAGGCGTCCCGCACCATTGCCAAGCGGAGTGCAGATCTGGATTCCTATCAAGAGGCTCGCATAATAGGGTCCATAAGGGGGGCGGGGGTGGAGTTCATGGGGGGTAGGTACCCTAAACCCTAAACCCGAAACCCTAAACACCCTAGGGAACCTTAGGGAAGCTTAGGGCGGCTTAGGGAGTAGTAGGGAGTGTACTAGGGAACTTTGGGTTACATACCCCCCCTTTAAGCCCCCTGCCTTCAGAACCCTATAATCACTGGGTACAGGTTTAGGGTTCAGGGAAAGAGGCCTGGAAACATGTCGGATTCGGATTCAAGGGCCTTGGGGACGGGTTCATGGGCGTGTGCGCGTAGAAATTTGGGTGGGCTGCTACTCACATCTATCAAGCCACCCAAAATACATTTTTAGATTTTTGGCAAAGGGGGCGAGGGGTGATCTAAATGCTGCATCCATGTCTGCACCCCAAGCTATATACGGTGATTGAGACCTCGCGCAGGCCTACGTTTTCCAGGATGCTGGGTTCTCATGGAGAGAAGAGATAAATCATCTTTCTCCAGATGAAGATATCCAGCACAACCCGCATGGAAATCCGAAACCCTAAGCCCTGAAGCCTGAACCACAAAAAGTTGAAGTCTTGACCCGGAACCGGGTTAGATGCGTGCTACGGCCCTGAACTCTTACAGTAGCCCTTCACCTGCGCCAGCATTACCTTCAGGATGGGCCAGGCAAGCCCCATACCTAAGTTTGAGATCCCGAAGCTAAAGCCCCAACCCCAAACCCCAAATCACAAACCCTAGACCAAACCCGAAACACACAACTCGAAGCCCTAAGCCCTAAGCCCTAAGCCCCAATTTTGTGTCCCCCTGCACAACCTCCAGGCTCTGCGATTGCTGCACCAGGGCTCGCAGCAAGAGGCCGTGCAGGGTTTCAGGGCTCAGGGCCGGCTTGGGGCCACTTCGGCTTACCCAAAGGCTCCTATGTAGTACCTTTTTGGGGTAGTATACTAGAATCCCCTATAACTAACCCAAAAAGGAACTACATTGGAGCCTTTGGGTAGTTTTAGGGGTTTAGAGTTGCAGGTTTGAGGGTTTACGGTTTATGGGTTTAGGTTTCAGGGTTTAGGGTTGATGGGGAAGGTTTTAGGGTTTAGGATTTAGAGCCTTGCGGGCTTAGGGGTTTACGGGTGCAGGGGGCTTAAGGCAGAGGATCCACAACCCTAAATCCTAAACCCTAAACCGGACCCCCAACATAGATCCCCAAATAGTACTTGGAGGTTCATGGTACTTACTAACTAATTATAACTGTACTTATAGCTGTACTTGTAACCACATTAGGGCACTTAAGGGGCTTCTAAGCACAGTTATAAGTACAGTTATAATTGGTCAGTAAGTACCATGAACCTCCAAGTAGGATCCCCTTATACTAAGGACCCCAATAAGGTACCCCGAACCCCCAAATCAGCAGCTTAGGAGCACATGCCCTGTACCCTGAACCCTAAACCCTATAGACCCTGAACCCGAACAAGGGCCAACCTCCACCGGGGAAACATGTCCTTTCAAGATCTGGTTTTCGAAGCTGCCTACTGTTTAGTTTTAGGGTTGAGGGTTGAGGGTTTAGGGTTTAGGGTTTAGGGTTTAGGGTTTAGGGACAAGGGCTGCAGGCTTGTAGTGGCTGTCTACATCGAACAAGCAGGTTGCGTGAAGCTGATTCCAGAGTCGGTGTCTTCACATTCTGAATCATTGCCCACAGGGAAAGAAGGAATCGAGTTGAAGGTTTAGGGACCCACCCTTAGTTGGGTACACATGTATATAGATATACACGTAGATATACATATATATATATACACACAGACATTATCTGTTCCTTAGATCACATGGCCGAGCATTGCTTAATGAATGTATTGCTCAATGAATGTTTAGATATCGGCGTCTCCTGAGGAATGCAACTCCTGAACCCTCCATCCCCTCGACTACCCCCGCCCGGCCCCCCCCCCCCCAACTTGCCTAAGCCGCAAAGGGTTTCGGGTTTCGGGATTCAGTTTATTCTTGGTCGTATTCCTTTCCCCGAATGCTCCGCAGAAGGGTTCCCGCTTTAAAGTTGGGGGTCTTGGGGTTGGGAGGATACCAAATGTCGTAGCGTTGTGTTCGCGAAGCGTTCGCAAGCGTCCGCAAGCGTCCGCAAAGCGTCCGCAAAGCGTTCGCGAGAGGCGTCACACGCGCTGTAAAGGAAGAACTCCACAGGGCGCGCGTGCCCGCGGCGTTCCGAATGCGGCTAAGGGAGAACTAGACAGGACGCGTGTGCCCGCGGCGTTCCGAATCCGTCAAGCTAAGGGGGAACTCCGGAGGACCGTGGTGGTCGTCCGTGGTGGTGGTCCCGTGGCAGTGGTCCGTGGTGACCTGGTGGCAGCGGTGGTGGCACCTGGGGTGCGGTGCGTGGGTGTGGGTGGGTGAATGTGGGTGGGTGGGGTGAGGGTCGGTGGGGTCTACGCAAGAACTTCATGCACAATGCTCCGATTGAACCGTGCGAGGAAAAAAAGCGTCTTTTTTCCGCCCGCGCACCGACGTTTCGTTTATATTGAGTTATATTTACGTTATAGGTGACTGCTTTCTGCATTCGGGTTCGTGGCTCCTATCAGGTTTAGTCCGGGCCCGAAAATGGCCCGTGGGGGGGGGGGGGGGGGGGGGGGGGTGGAAAAAGTGTTCCAGTTCTATGGCCCTAATCCTATACAACCCGACAGAACCTCCAGAGCTCCAAACCCACCCCAATTTCGGAAACCCTAAACCCCGAAACCTACATCCTAAACCCCCAACCCCAAACCCTAAACCCTAACCTCTCAACCCTAGACCGCAGGTTCAAGAGCTGCACAAGAGAATCTCTGAGCTGGACCGGGACTCCAACAAGGCTGGCGTGCACGGGCGCAGCTTTGGCAAGTTCCGGGTTCCGGGGTTTAAAGGGTTTAGTGTGTAGAGTTCAGGATTCAGGAAAGTAGGGTTTACCCAGCGGATTCACTAACGGGGATGTTTCCTCGGGGATTTTTCGAGGTATGCATTTTTCTGTCCAGGGTAACAAAAGGTTTCGGGAAGGAAATTTGAAGTACTTCTGCATTTGTGACAGTCCCATGGTAACCATTAGCCTTTCTTCCGAAAGTATCCCCTCATGAAGCCACAACCCTTCATGTCGTAAACCCGACACCCTAAGTTGAGGGTAGAGGTTTGGGGTTCACTTACAAGCCCCTTTAAGGCAAAGACGGTACCCTGTATACCTAGATGTAAGCACACTGCGCTGAAAATCAACCATGTTGCAAATGCTACGAAACCCCACAGGCCGAAGAGACGGTCGCTGAATGTGAGTTGCAGATAAAAGAAACTCGCACGCCCCCCAACCCCGCCCCCGAACACAAAGAAAGTAGGCAGGGAACGATCAACAATGTTGCGAATGCTACGAAACCCTACGCAAGCCCAAGAATTTGTGCTTTTCTTTTCATTGGATAACCGATTGGCCGGAGACGGTCGCTGAATGTGAGCTGCACGAGATGCATGCTTTCCAGGCCCCCCGGCTTCAGGGTCGAGCTGAGGGCTCAGGACTCAGAGTCCCAAAGCCCTCGACCCCAAACGAACAGAGGGTTTAGGGTTTAGGGCTTAGGGTTTAGGGGTTTAGGGTTTAGGGCTTAGGGCTTAGGGTTTAGGGTTTAGTTGGCCCGTATTGGCTCCCTCTGTGCCAGCAGGTGCCAAAACTGAAGCAGGATCAGAAGGCGCTGACAAACAGGCATCGTGGGAGTTGTCAGGATAGACAGGCTTACGGTTAGGGTCTAGGGTCTATGGTTTAGAGATTGCATGACTTCGCGGCTACACATGTAGAGCCTGCTGCAGCAGAGAGATTCAACAATTCGGTGGTCCATGGGTAGTTATAAGTCGGGCTATAAGTAAGCTAAAAAAGGCTTGTGAGTATAGTTACCATTATCATTATCATTACCCTAAACGCCTGATAACCCTACTTATGACTACCCAAAACCACAATGGATGTCAACCCTATGGGCGCACCTTGGCAGCCAATCCTGGAACACTGACAGCGCACCAAGCTTTGCCGAAGTGGTGGGACGCCTTATGCCCAAAAATTGGGACTGAGCGGCTCCAAGAGAATGCCAAACAGCTGGAGTTGCAGGCCAAGAAGCTGAACATGATGCAGTGACGCCCATGCCACTCAGCTTGGCGTTCAGAGCTCTGTCAGCATCACTTTGCAAAGTGCTGCGAGTTGCGTCCGTGCCAATGTTGGTTTTTCATGGTCCCTAAGCCCACCGTCAAATATCAAGCCAGGGAACGCGAAACCCGAAGCTCCCTACATTCTAAAACCCCAGAACCCACATTCCAAAAAAAAGGAACGGGTATCCGCCAAAAGAATGCCAAAGCCGTTGAAGCCCGCAGCGCCTGAAGCGCTTTAAGCCCTCAGGGTTTGGGGTTTAATAGGGGTTTAGGTTTCGAGTTTTGACGCTCTTCACCCTGGACCCCTCGTGCCTGAACTCCTCGACAGTGAACCTTGAGCCGCTAGACCCTAAAACCTAAACCCTATACATGCGCCCGCGTTCCGCGTAATCGCCCTTCCCCCCCCCCATGCCAAAGCCTGCCTGTTAACCCTAAAAACACCACGGACCACGGGGGAGGACAGAGAAACCTCAGCCTAAGCCCCACACCCTGAACCCTAAGCCCTAAGACCTAAACCCACCAATGAACGACAGGAGGGAGAAGGGTAAACCCGAAACCTTAGCCGCTTTAACCCTGAACCCTGAACCGTAAACTCAGCACGAACCACAGGGGGGAGAGGGGAAACGTAAACCTACCACTACCCCGCACCTTGAACCCTGATTAAGCTCTAACCCCACAATGAACCAATGGACCAGAGTGAGAATCCTGAACTCTACAGCATCCTAACCTTAAACCCCTAAACCACAAACCCATGCACCATGACCCCAAAACCCCAAAACCCCAAAACCCCAAAGCCCCAAAGCCCCAAAACCCCCAAACCCTAAACCCTAAACCCTGCAGCCCTAAGCACTAAACCCTAAACCCTAAACCGTAAACCCCGCTCCTGCGACAGGCAAAACCTGCTCCAAGAGCGCATGGCCGACCTGGAAACCGAGGCGGCTGATCTTAGTTTTTGGAAGATGGGCTGCCCAGACGTTCAGCTTAGGGTTTACTCGTAGGGTTTAGGGTTTAGGGTTTAGGGTTTAGGGTAGTTAAGGTATGTGGGGTTTAAGGGCTTCAGGGTCCCGGAAAGGATGCTGTGGACAGCTTGTAGTTTCTGAATGTTGGCTACTGGGACCTCAAAGGGGACCCCACGCACATGAACCTTCTCTTTACTGACATGTAGGTATTGATGGTTTGGCCCCCACCAAAGCCTAAAGGCAGTTTGAAAGAAAAAGTGCCAAACCTCCCCCAAACCCTAAACCCTAAACCCTACATAAACCCTAAACCCCAAAAAACAAATCAAAGCCAAAAGATGCACCCTCTAGAGCCAGCAACCCTTTTCAGAGACTCTACGCCACACTAAAACCCAACATGCCCATAACTTACTGTTGGTTAGCAGGGAATTTGTGAATGAGGTACCCTATATAAACCCTTAAAGGGTATATACAGGGCTTATTCCCTGCTAACCAACGGTAAGACAAGTTGTCGGAGACTCCTCCACCTCTAATTGAGGACTTGGGTTGGGGCTTTTGGGCTTAGGGCTTGTAGTGGATCTTCATCCATGAGTTAAGGGCTACTCCTGGATGTCCTCAAAAACTGGGAAGTCCCTTGGTACCGGGAAGGTCTGGGCCGTTAACCCTGAACCGTAAACATCAAACATCAGACCCCAAATCCCTAGACCCCAAACCGTAAACCCCGAACCCCAAACCTCAGTCTCCAAACCCTAAATCGAAAACTTTCACGTAAAGACGAGCCGCTGGGTATACGTGCGATGAAACAGAACACCTGCCATCCTTAAGCACTCCAAGTTAGCCAGGCTTACGAACTTGAGCAGACAGCACAGGCCCGGCGAAGGGTGTTAGAGTTGAGGGTTGAGGGTTGAGGATTGAGGATTGAGGATTGAGGATTGAGGATTGAGGACTGAGGATTGAGGATTGAGGATTGAGGATTGAGGATTGAGGACTGAGGATTGAGGGTTCGGGTTTGAGGTTTAGGATTTACGGGCTTTAGGGTTTAAGGCTTAGATAGCCGCCGTTGAAGCATTTTTGCGAGTTCCCGTACTGCTGAATTTGCTTCATTGGTTCAAACTAGAACACTGGTATTACTGGTTGTAGCTTCTTGGGACGTTGGGACGGATGGTCAAAGGTATACCTACAGTGTGGAAGGCTCCCCCTCCCCCCCCCACCCCCCTGCGCTTTAAGGTTGCAGATCTGATACCCTAAACCCTATAAACCCGAAACCCTAAACCCTGAGTGTCTGGATCAACCTAGGAACCCAATTCTGCCCGTCTGCCTTCATTTTTAGGGCCTTGGGTTCCCTTATAAAAAGCATTCCCTAAACCTACGCAACAAAGGGTTCTGCAGGGGCCGCTAGTAGGGTCTAGGGTTCACGGTTTAGGGTGATTCTAAAGACCAAAATTTGTTTGGAGCCCCCTACTATAATCCCCATTAAGGAGCTGGAACATCCCAACTTCAACCCTAAACTCACGGCTTAGGCCGCCCCCCTACATGGGGGGGGGGCGGCGCCTAAGCCCCTCGACCTCGATGGCGCAAGCACACCCAGGTCGTTCGCCCGCCTCCCAGCTCGGAGGTCGGTAGCATCCACGATGGGCCCGGTACCGGAGCACGTTCTCCTCGGGACCAGTACTGGTCCCTTAGCAAGTCACTACCCCAAACCCCAGCATCCGTGGGGGGTCCCGGACCCCTCGCCGCAGTCAGTTTTCCTCTGGGACCCTTGGGATCCCCTGAAAACCCGGACCATTCTGGGACCCCCCTGGGACCCTTTCAGGGACCCTCTAAGAAGTTTTTTAGAGGTGGACTGTTGCCTTGGCTTTGCCGTCTCGGACGGTGTGGGGTGGGAGAGAAGTGTTAGATGGCCATCCACAATCGGGCTCACGAAGCTTTCGAGCTTGTTCCAAAGCCTAGCCTTCCCAGCGTCTACGCCCTATCACAGCAAAACCCTAAACCCGAAACCCTAAACCCTAAACTAAACCCTAAACCCTAAACCCCAAAAACAAACCCGACGTTACCAAAGCCTCGCGCTGCAGGCCGGGAATGAGCTGCTGGAGATCCGCTCCTCGGTGAGACATAGGGGGTTTTCGAAAATAGGGGTACCCTTTTTGGGGCGCTTCGGGTTTAGGGTTTTTGGGTTTAGGGTTTAGGGTTCCCTTTAAAGGGATTCTATGCTATTTGGGGTATAAACGGGATTGGGAAATGCGCAAATGGCTGCCCTGAAGCTTATAAGGCCTAAACGCTCAACTATAAACCCTAGACTCAGTAGTGTTGAGGGTTTGGGTTCAGGGTTTGCAGAATAAGTAGGTACAAAGTAGAGCTTCTAAGTACCTCAAAAGGGGCCCTGGTTGGGTTTTGGGCTTCGGGCTTAGGGTTTTATTAATTTCAGCAATAGGTACCTCTGATTGCCTACAGTTCCATTCAATCCTGGGTCATCCCTCAATTTGCGGTGGCAAATATTCAGCTGTACATGAGTAGAGTTACAAGCAAGGCCGATGCACCAAAAGTTCCTCAAAAGGCAGAAAGCGTCTGTGGTGGCGAGACTAAAATTTACTCGTCTAGGTTTGGGGTGAAGGGGGGATTCGTGGTGGCGCATGTCGTTGCTTCGAATTTTACAAAAACATTGGCCAATGGTTCGTCGATCGCGGTGAACACTTTGCGGCAACCATTTCAAGGGCTACAGGGTTAGCACACCCCAGAACCCTAAACAATTCGAACCTACGCAGAAGTACCCATGAAACTCCAAGCATTTTTGTTCTCAAGAACGATGTAAAAACACATGAAGGGATTCCTTTCCCCGACCCCCGAAAGCGGGCTTCGGACCTTGAAGGAATCAACCGCATCAGTTCATGGATGCGCTTTCTACCCTAAACCCTAAACCCTAAAGCCTCCCGTCACACTCTATGACGAGGCAACAGCGTCGTGCATGAGCTGCGCCAGGAGAGCCGAAGCGGGATTAGGGCTTAGGGTTTAGGGTTTAGGGTTTCTTTGTGTTTAGGATGCGCAAACCCTAAAGCCTCAGCTCTAAACCCGGAAGCCTGTTGGCTTGTCTGCAAACTAGGGCCCCGCTGTAGGGCACTTGTAAGTAGGATTATATTATAGGTATAATAGCTACACTTACAACCCGATTTAGCGTACTTATCAAGTCTTTTCACTACCCTAACCCCTAAGCCCTAATCCCTAAGTCCTGCACCCGAAACCCTAGACCCTAGACCCTAAACCCCAAACCCTAAACCCCAAACCCCAAACCCCAAACCCCAAACCCTAAACCCTAAACCCTACCGATTCTAACTACTCACGTGAACCTCAAAATGCCCTCTTCGAGGAGGTGGAGATGCGCGAGGCGCGGCTGAGGAGCCTCGAGGAGTTGGCCCGGGGCCCCAGAAGGCCTGAAACCCTAAGCCCTAAACCCCAAACCTTTAAACTCTAAACCCCAAACCCCAAACCCTAAAACTTGGAGGCAAACTTGGGTAGTTGGGTTCTAAGTACCCTAAACAGGGTTATTTGGGCAGTTACCAGTACCATGCTTATGACCCTGCTTCTCACTACCCATGAACCTCCAAGTAAACCCTGAAGCCAAACCAGGGTCGCGAGGGTTAAGGGTTGATGGCTTGGGAGATTTAGCTGAGCCCTATAATCGGCGCAGTAGATGGAGAATTTTGACTGTAGAGAGACAAAGCCCATATATGTCGTGAGCATGAGAGGGTTTTGAGCTTGTGTTTTTTTTTGGGGGGGGGTTACTACGATTAGCTTAAGAGCACCCCCAAAAAGAACACAGATTTTCTGCCTTCTCAGTGCAATATACAGATTATTATCCTACATTTTTTGGGGGGCTCTTAAGCAAATAGCGCTGTTTTGGCGGGAGTTCTTAAGCACAAATCGTAGTTTAGGGTAAGGAGCCTCAGCTTCGATTTCTCCAAGCCGGGGCCAGTAGCTCCAGGGTCACCTTGTCATGCAGCGTTCTTCCTAGCCCTAAGCCCTATAAGCCCTAGACGCCCTGTAAGCCCTAGATTTTAAACCTGAAGCAGTGGCTGGGTTGAGGGTCCAATAAGCCTCCTAAAGAGCAGCACATGAAACTCTGAAGGCCCAAAAAGCCGTGACACCCCAAGTGCCCACCCATGATCCTCCGAGTATTCCCGAAGCCCTGAGGTTCTCAAATTGGACGAAGAGCGAAGCCGTCTCAAAAAGGAGGCTGGGCGTGCTTTGCCTTCAAGACTTTGGGATTTGGGTTTAAGGTCTAGGGTTTAGGGTTTATTGTTTAGGTACTCAAACCCTTCAGAACCTAAGCGTCCAGCGCACTTGGTACCGAGTCGTGCAGATTTTGGGTTTAGGGCTTGGGAGTTTGCTGTGTCTATAGCGACTCCAGATTGGAGATGACGCTGGTAGTCGTTAAGCCCGAAACCCTAAACCCCAAACTCTAAACCCCCAAACCCCAAACCCTAAACCCGAAACCCCGCGCCAGCGAAGCGAAACCGAGCGTGCGCAGGCCAGCCAAGATGCCGAGAAGGCGCAGGAGCTCCTGAAGGAGGCCTCCTCCCGGCCCCACTTAGGGTTTAGGGTCTAGGGTTTAGGGTTTGGGGTTTAGGGTTTGGGGTTTGGGGCTTAGGGTTTAGGGTGATTCTGGGACCCTTTGAAGGGGCTCTTGGGTTTTCATTTGGGGGCCCCTTATCCCTACTTGTTGAGGACGTTTGGTTCCTAAACCCTAAACCCCAAACCCTAAACCCTAAACTCCAAACCCTAAACCCCAAACCCTAAACCCTAAACCCCCAAACCCTAAACCCTAAACCCTAAACCCGAGAATTTCGCGGCTTCAGGGTCTTAAGCTGGGGCTGAAGAGGGACCAAGGGATGGCCAGGAGCTCCGGTTGGTTTCTGAGAGCGTTTAGGGTTTAGGGTTTATAGGACTTAGGACTTAGGGCTTAGGGTTTAGGGCTTAGGGCTTAGGGCCTATATAGGGCTTAGGGCTTAGGGCTTAAGCCAGGCCCTTTTTGAGATGCTTTACATGTAAGGGGCGTGGTAGGCTTTAAGAAGGCGCCACGCCGTGAGCCTCAAACATCTCGGAGTATATATAAGGTTTAGGGTTCATGGCTTACGTTCAGGGGATTTTTTGGGATGAGGGTGCAAGGATTTGTAGGTGTACGGTTTTGGGGAACTTGGATTTAGTGTCTCTGGGCTTGGTCTCGGGGCATCCACCACCTAAACATCCCAGGCAAGCTTTCGGCTCTGGTTGTAAACTCAAGTCATGGGTTTCCCTCCTTGAAGGTTCATGGTACTTATTAACCAACTTTAACTGTACTTATCACCCACTTATAAGCCCCTTAAGTGCCCTAATCTAGCTTAGAAGTACAGTTGTAATTGGTTAATAAATACCATGAACCTTCAAGTACTACCCCCCGCTATACTACCCCTCGCCCCCCCCCCCTAGGTTCCCCCCTTAAAGAACCTTATTAATTGGCTTGATTATCCCTAAATAGCCTTAATTGTGGGGGGAACCTAGGGGGGGTAGTATAGAGGGGGGTAGTGCGGGTAGCAGGGGAACCCATGATCAAGGGATTAAGACTCGTACCCTTAAAGGTTTCCCCTTAACATGCTTACATTACCTTAAGGACCTTTAAAAGGGATCACCAAATCCAAGGGCACAACCCTACGGGTCCAAGGTACAACACCTAGATAAACCCTATATCAACCCTTGTCCGCCCTGGATAGAGCCTATATAAGCCCCATAATCCCTCCATAAGAAAACCCCGAAAACCCCGAAAACCCCAAACCCTCAAAACCCTCTTAGGGGTCAGGGTTCCCCAACAGCTCTGGTTCTCTTGGCCCTGGTGAACCTTGGGCGTTTTCGAAAATGTCACTCAATCTCCATCTCTTCAATTTGAACACTTCTGAGGCTTAGGGTTTAGGATGTAGGGTCTACGATTTTTGTGTGAGGGGCTGTGCAACAGGTGATGGAATTGGCCCATGGGGGCGCTCGCGAGGCGAGATTGTGTGTGAGTGGGCTTCGGGCCACCTAAACCCTAGTCCCGAAGCATCCCGAAAGTCTAAACCTGAACCCTGCGTAGGGTTTACTTGGAGGTTCATTTGGGTAGTTCGAAGTAGGGTACGGGAACTAGAACTGAAAACTCATTAGGGGACTTAGAACCCTGAACCTCACCGACCTAAGCACCCTAAACCCTAAACCCCAAGCCCTAAACCCGACTTGTAACTACCCAGAAGAGCCTCCCAAGTCAAAGGGCAGCAGCCTGAAAACCCCATCCCGAACTCTAAAACCCCCTACATAAGGAGCGTGCAGCGTACCAGGACCCCCACAGACCAGCATCTGCTTTGGAGCTTTTCACCCTAAGGGGTACTAGGCCCTAAACCCGAAAAGTTCAATCCCAAAACCCTGAGAGCTTTAAAGCTTAACTTCCCCGAAGCCCTAAACCCGGAAAGCTGACAAGACCAAGCTCGTGAATCGCTCTGTGGAAAGTGGCCCCTCCGGCTGGCAGTTGTCTCTTAACAACCCGCTGTTCGAGCGACTGATCAAGACCTACTCGAGCGTGGTGGGCAAGAGCAAGGAGAAGACCGACCCTCGAGCAGTCATAGTGGGCAAGTGTGGCTCTGAGAGCAACTTCTTGCGAGGCCTGGCAGATGGCGACGAGACGTGGCTGTCACGGAAGACGGCAGGACCTTCAAGTACTGTTCGATGGAAGATTGAAAGGAGGTGTGGAGAAGACGGAAGTCTTGAAGAAGGGCGCAGAGTCCACAGAAGAGGCCCTGCACCAATTCTAAACCCTGAAAGCCCTAAAGCTTGGGATGTGTTCCCCCTTCTACTAACAGTCCTTACTGGGAAATAAGGTACCCCCGAGTAGAATCCCTGCTAAGGACTGCCAGTATAAGGGGGAACCTCCCAACGTAAAGCCTTGAAGCCCGGCCCTAACCCTAAACACAGCACCCTGAAAGCCCTAAGCCCGCAACCCCATTCCTTATGTCAGGGGGCTTGGGGGCTCCCTAAACCTTAAACCCTAAACATCCCTAACCTGCTAAACCCTAAAACCCTAAAGCCTCAACACAAAAAAAACTGAGAACCCCTACAACCCTAAGAAGCCTAAGACCCTACAACCCTAAAAACCTAAGACCCTACAACCCTAAACACCCTAAAACCCTAAGACCCTGAAGCCCTAAAACCCCAAACCCGGCTCCATGCAAAGGAGTCCGTCATTGTCACTTCCGCTCCGGCGCCTCGATCCGCGCTTGAGCTCCGAGTTTCGTAACACCTTCTAGGGCTCTGGGGTTGAGGGTTTTCTGGATTTGGGGTTTAGGGTTTTAGGGCCTTAGGGTTTTACGGTTTAAGGGTTTGAGGCTTTTAGGGTTTTAGAGTTCGACCCTTTAGGGTTTAGGGGTTTAGGCTTAGAGCCTTTAGAATCTGAAGGCAAGGAACCCCAGAGAGCAGTGAAGTTTCCTGGCATCCTAAGCCCTCACTCTGAGGGTAGCTTCATGGCCCCTTAATATGGTTTAGGGTTTAGATGGACCCTTAATTTGTTTCGGGGTATGTAAGGGGTGAAAACGGGGCCCCCTTCTAACGGCCCATTTTAAGGGACCTTGAAACTCCGCTGGACTCACAGCCAGCCCAAACCTAAAACACCCGAAGCCCTCGAATCTAAACCCTGAACCTGAAACCCTAGACCCTAAACCCCCTAAACCCCCTAAACCCTAAACCCCCTAAACCCTAAACCCTAAACCCTGAACCCTAAACCCTAAACCCTAAACCCTGAACCCCCTAAACCCTAAAGCCGACAGCTCAAGCCTTGCAAAAGCACTGACATTTTTCATAGACAAGATGCTGCCTAAACCTCACAACCTCACAAGCTGACTTAGTAGTACCCTATAAGGCCTGAAACCTTATAAACCCTGAAACCTTATAAACCCTTAACCCTAACTTAGTAGTAGAGTAGGTAACCTTTAACCCCTTTTTGGGTTAATGTATTCCCCTTATATATCCCAAAGGTTAACCTTTAACACCCCGAGGTTCTGGACAACTAAGCTGAACCTCCACAATACACCCCTAAGCACAATTTAAGAGCTGTCATTATAGTTAATATGTTTCTGGTATTTGCGGCGTCACGAAAACGTTACAGGAGATCATGCAAAATACCGGGGTCTAGGTATCGTTCGGGAGCCGAACCGAAACAACTGTGTCGTGGCTACCCCTTGCTCTCAACAGAAGCTTGTCTGTGGCGGCTGCTGCAGCATACTGTGCATTGCTTCGGGGTCAGCGTGGCGGAAAGGCGGCTAGCAAAGTGCGTAAGGCCGTTTTTATCAAGCTCCTCGTGTGGTGGCGCACCTCTCTGGAGCGTGTCGCGGAGGCTCTTTTGGACTCCAGACCTGGGCAGGTACCGGCATTGTCGCACAAATACTTCCGAATCTGTGGCCGCATCGCCCAGCGTCGTTCCCAAAGGCCCTAAACCCTAAACCCTAAACCGTAACCCACTCCACTTGCTCTGCTATCATTGTTACTGAAAGTGCTTGCGGTTGCGGTAGTGGTTGCCGGGGGCTGTTGTTTTTGCTGTGGCTGCAGCTGGCATGCGCTGTCCTGTTCAGCGCTTGCAGTGCCCCCGAAAAGAAAGTTCGTCTCTCCTGCTGGTATGGGGGGTTGCCGAAAATAGGGCTACCCTTTTTTGAGGGGGTCCCTTTAAGGGAATTCTAACCTATTTGGGGTATAAAAAGGGGTACCCCTGTTTTTGAAAAGCCCCCGTATTGAGATTCTTGCCAGGTCCACTCGCGACTGGCTGTTGCCTCTGCAGGGGGGCCTGATTTAGGGTTCAGGGTTTAGGGTTTAGGGAGGGTTTAGGGTTTAGGGTTTAGGGTTTAGGGAGGGTTTAGGGTTTAGGGTTTAGGGTTTCGGGTTTAGGGTTTAGGGTTTAGGGCTCAGGGTTCAGGGTAAAACCCCGGGGTTGAGAGGCGCAGGCTCAGGATGCAGCATGGGGTTGGGTCCGGTGCGCCGGGGTATCTGTTTATCAAGGACCGAGGAGTCTCTACCTTAACTTTGTCATAGTTGGGTAGCATTTTTTCATTTTTTAGGGACTTAAACCCAATAAGGAATAAACAGTTAATAATATCCCAACCATGAATCAGTTAAATCATCGGGATCTCTATGTCGCTTAAGGAGTCTTCCTTCAGTACATGGACCCCAGGTCCAGCGCAGCTTGGCACAGCTGGACTTGGTGACCTGCCGAGCCAAGGCAGGGGCGAAGGGTGCCAACTTTACTGCTTCGGCATCAGAGTTTAGGGTTTAGGGCTAGGGTTTAGGGTTTAGGGTTTAGGGTTTAGGGTTTAGGGTTTAGGGTTTAGGGTTTAGGGTTAGGGTTTAGGGTTTAGGGTTTAGGGTTTAGGGTTTAGGGTTTAGGGTTTAGGGTTTAGGGTTTAGGGTTTAGGGTTTAGGGTTTAGGGAACCCCCCAAGCCGGAAGACTTCGTTGAAAGGGGTTGGGCCGAGGATGGCGATGGTGCTTTGTGACTTTTTGTCTAGGGCCGGGAGTAGGCCCTTTTTTCCTTGTTATGGGGTTCTTGGAGGTTCATGGGACTTAATAACCACTTATAACTGGGCTTATAACCCTACTTATCATTGGGATAACCCTTATAAGGCTTTTTAGGGGTATTATAAGTAGGGATTTTAAGTACAATTATAATTGGTTAGTAAGTACCATGAACCTCCAAGTTGGGTTTCCCTTATAATCCCCGTAACACCAAGAAGGAACCCCCTTTTTTTCCTAGATTACTCCCGGGTCTAGTTGTTGCTTGACTCAAGCAGGCTGAACGTTCAGTGTGAGGTTCTTTGACTAGACGCATCGAATCGGGGATGTCAGTTTAGAGCTTCGGTTTTAGGGTTCAGGGGCAGGAAGCGCAGGAGGAAGCAGCTCAGGCCTAAACCCTGCACCTCTAAAATGCCAAAGCCTCTATTCTAAACCCCTGAGCCCCCACAAACCCGAAGCCCCAAACCGTAAACCCCGAAATCCTAAGCACAAGCCCCCCCCCCCTCCACTCCCCTAAAAAAGCCTAAGCTCAACCCCCAAACCCATAACCCTGTAAACCCTACAAACCCTAAACCTAAAACCCTAAACCCTGTAAAACCTTGCAAACCCCATAAACCCTTTACAAATCCTATGCAAACCTGCAAACCCCATCAACACCCCATAAACCCCAGAAAACCCTGTATAAACACCACATACCCTTTGTTTAACCCTACGCCCTATACAAACACTATACGAACCCTACAAACCCTTTTGTTTAACCCTAAGCCCTATACAAACACTATACGAACACCACAAACCCTGCAGCTTAACCCTAAACCCTATACCAACACGATACGAACCCTACAAACCCTATAGTTCCCATAAGCCGTCGACCGCTTGGCTTTCAGGAGAATGCCTTCCGGGATGGCGTCCCCGAGCCCTGGCGACAGGAGCTCGAGGTGCTTTTTTTTCTTAGGGTTTAGGGTTTAGGGTTTAGGGTTTAGGGTTTAGGGTTTAGGGTTTAGGGTTTAGGGTTTAGGGTTTAGGGTTTAGGGTTTAGGGTTTAGGGTTTAGGGTTTGGTGTGTAGGGTTCAGGGTTTAGGGTTTAGGGGCGAGGGGGAGGGAGGGGACTTGGGGTCTTTTGGGGTCCTTTAGGGTGTAGGGTTTAGGGTGGTTTATGTGTTTTCGGGTGTTTGGGGGTTTCAGGGTGTTCGAGGGTTTTAGGGGTTTGGTGTTTTAGGGGTTTGAGGGTGTTCAGGGGTTGTAGGGCGTTTGGGGCTTTAGGTGCTTAAGGGGCTTTCGGGCGTTTGGGGCTTTAGGGTATTTCGGGGCTCTACTAGGGTGTTTAGGGTTTTAGGGTGTAGGGCCGCAGTTACTCAGGACATGCTCTTCTTGTAGCTACAGCTGGCGGGCCCTGTCTTGCTTTAGGTTCTCTACCGGTAAGAAAAGGGGTTTTGCTGAAGACCCTCGTGTTAAACCCCGAACCCTGAACCCTGGACCCCAAACCCTAAACCCTAAACCCTAAACCCTAAACCCTAAACCCTAAACCCTAAACCCTAAACCCTAAACCCTAAACCCTAAACCCTACGAACCTGCAGCTCGCCAGGGCACTGCCCAGACGGCGGCCGCGAAGTCGCTGGCGCTGAGCGAGGCCCCTGAGGTTTTACATACAAGCAGGGTTTTTAGGGTTTAGGGTTTAAGGTTTAGGGTGTAGGGTTTAGGGTGTAGGGCCCCTTCTGATTTTCCAAATTTCCTGGGTGGTATAGGGATTTAGTCAACCATTGCTGTCTTCCTGTAGTCCCCTCACTCCATTTTTGGACAGCTTGGATCCCCTGTGAACCGAATCCAAAGAATCCTTTTATTCCTGGAGACCTGGGGCACCTAGTCTAGAGTCTGAGGTCTGGGCTTTTCAGGGTGCCAAGGTTTATGGTATTCACAGCACACACAACACTGAGTTGCTTCTTGTTCTTGAATGGTCCGGGCCAGGTACTCAGATCCCTGGGAGGATCCAAAAAGTAGACCCCGTAAGGGTTCCTATGTTGACCAAATAGAAGTATGGGGTACTATTTGGGGGCTCTACTTTTTGGATCCTCCCAGGGGCTGGGTAAGAGATTGAGTTTGTGGAAAAGCCCTGTCAGCCGAGACTATAGGGCAATCTGGCGAACCGAACTCCCAAGTAAGTTTTCGGGTTTATTAGGGCATCCAAAGCGAGCCCCCCGCCGCCCCCCCCCCCCCCTCCCCAACAACCCCCCCCCACCACCCATGCTCCCCCCCCCCCCCCCGCCCCCCGCCCCCCACAGAATAGTATATCTAAGCCGACGGATGCTTCGCAAAAATCAAAGAGACACTCTTCTGGTAGCATGCATGGCAACAAAACCCTTGTAAAGCGACCGGACCATCTGAAAAGCGACACCCCCCAAGACGCGTCCAGTAGCGTTTTAACACAGTTTAGACGGACGCTCATATAACCCGAATATACACTATATATATATGTATAAGTATGTGCATATGTATATATGTATATAAATGTATAAAATGGGGACCCATACTTCAGATCCCTATAAAACACGGGTAAAAAGGGACCACACTGACTAAGATCCGGGTTCGCAAAGTGCTGAAGGAAAGTACCTTACAAGCATAGCAAGAATCCCTCCATGAATTCAGGAATATAGCTGAACTGAGCCGAATTTTGTTGAAGGATCCGGCTAGATGTTTCAAAGTTCCTAAACCCTGGGCCCTAAGCCCTTAACCCACACCCCAAAACCCTACTAAGCCCGAAGCCCGCCTCAACTCTAAGCCCTTAAACCTCAACCCTACTTGGAGGTTCATGGGTCGTTAGAAGTAGGGCGATAAGCCCCCGAAATGGAGTTATAAGTATAGTTACCACGCTTACAACCCTGCTTATAACCACCCGCACAACCATAAACCCTAAGCCCTAAACCCTAAACCCAAAGCCCTAAGCCCTAAACCCAAAGTCCTAAGCCCTGAGCCCTGAGCCCTAAGCCCTGAGCCCTCAGCCCTAAGCCCTAAGCCCTTAAACCCTAAGCCCTAAACCCTAAGCCCTAAACCCTAAGCCCTAAACCCTGAGCCCTAAACCCTAAACCCTAAACCCTAAACCCTAAACCCTAAACCCTAAACCCTAAACCCTAAACCCTAAACCCTAAACCCTAAACCCTAAACCCTAAACCCTAAACCCTAAACCCTAACCCTGAGCCCTCGGGGCCCGTGCTTTGGAAGGTGCGTCGGCGGGCCGCGGGCGCAGCCGAGCGAGCGGCTGCACGTGCCGAGGCGCAGCTCCCAGATCTTCCAAACATAGCCAGAGACTTAGGGTTTAGGGTTTAGGGTTTAGGGTTTAGGGTTTAGTGTTTCGGGTTTAATTAGGGTTTAGGGTTAGGGCAGTTACATGGGCCCTTAGTATGGTTCCTTCCCGAAACTAGGGGTACCTTATTGGGGTCCTTAATCCTACAATTTGGGGGTCTGTATTGGGGGTCCCGGATTTTCGTAAACTCCCAAATTAGGGAACGTTACTTGGAGGCTCAAGTAGGGCTAAATGAAATGGGTTGGCCATGGCCATACTGGTTCGAAAGGGTCTCGAAAGTTGGTACACGAGTCCTGTCGATGGGTGAAAGAACATATGTGCAACATCCGCACTTCTTGGCGATGAGAGGATGGACATCCAGCCATGAGGGATTCATTCTTGCACGTTCCAAGCCCAAAGAGCACGAGTACCGAGCTATGTGTGCGGAGACAGGAATGTGGACAAACGGAGCTTTCTGGCTCAGAACCATGAGGCACACCAACAAGATACTCAGACAGAGCATCCTTGGAAGAACAAGTGGCAGGTATTCGCTGCTGGATGAGTGGACGAATTCTAGAGTGCGGATGGTACCCACTAATGGAACGACGTCCTTCTTCAAAGCGCAGATTCCACCTTTGCTGACTCCAGCTGAGGCCAACCCCCCCCCCCCCCCCGTCGGCTGGTTTCCGTTTCCTGCAACAGGTAGTTGCCGAGTGGGTCAGATTCCTGAAAATCAGAAAGCTTTCTGAAGTGATCTTCCCTAAATGGGGCATTTTCCAGAAGCGTGCAGTTGCCTGAAGTGGGTGATATTGAGATCTCCAGGGTTGCCTTATCAGTCAAGGCGTCTTCCTTCAATCATACAGCTTGTTGGTCATCTTGCTTTCTTAAACTAGTTTCGGAGGGGAGGCAGACCTTTCCAGTCTAGCCGAAACCCTAACCCTAAACACTGAACCTGAAGCGCCCGAAACCCGCAACGCTGGAGCTCGACTCCTACTCTACAGCCCAGCGCTTCGAACCTGAAACAAGCTCAGGGTTTTGGGTTTTGGGGGTTTGGGCTTCGGGGTTTAGGGTTTTGGGGTTTTGGGGGTTCGGGAGTTTAGGGGTTTAGGGTCTGGGGTTTTGGTAGCTTGGGCTTTAGGGTAGGGCATACTCAGAAATCAAGCAAGTCCACAATCAAGTATTGGGGTTCAATGATTCTGGTTTGTTCCTTCATCAAACTTACCCAAAACCCGAAACCCTAAGCCAGGGTTTCGGGGTAAACCCGAACTCCATGACCCCGAGGCTCGAAGCCTCGCACCCTTAAATCAGGGTCCCTTTTGGGGTTACTATTACAAGGCGGCCCCCTAATATTTTGGATACCCCAAAAGGGGGCCATAATTTTGAGAGCTGACCATATAGAGATCCTTACTACGTTAAAAGGTGTATGTCCGGAGTTAAGGGGTTTTGAGCTCCTTGCCCATGTGACCAAGACCCTGGCCCACATCGCCGGGCGCTGTGGTCTCCAGGCATCAGGGACTGGGGTTCAGAGTTTTGGGAGTTCTGCCAGGCGGGTGCAGGCCACCTCATTTTGTAGTGCCTTGCTGGATTTCTTATGGTCAGCATACTAAGGAGTTTTATGTCTACCTAAAAAGGAAGCCTAAATCATGGTTCAGGGACACACACACACACGCACCCTAAACCCTAAACCCTATACATGCACATGGTTGCAGCTAACAAATCAAGCTTCGCAGCGTCTACTACACCCTTCGAGGCCGAGCACTCCTTCCTTGGCAGCATCATGTTCTCCTTCGCCTCTTAGGGTTTAGGGTTTAGGGTTTAAGGTTTACGGTTGATTGACCTCAAGCGTTGTCGTGCTGCCAGGCACCTACAAATTCCCTCATCATTACCGGGAAGGGTCGGTGAACGCAGCCCTCTGCCAGCCAGTGCTTGCGGCGGTCGCTGGGGACAGCGTGACCTCACCAGCCACGACGTCCGCCACAACTTGCTGCGGATGATCCGTAACAACGCCGGCCAGCTTGCAAGGCCCGATGCTCCTGGAGGTGATCATCTTCTGAGTCCCTTTAGGGTTTAGGGTTTAGGGTTTAGGGTCCCTATAAGCCCTAGAGCCCTAAACGCCCCAAACCCCAGAGACTTTTCGGCCGAAGGTTTAGGCTTTAGGGGTAAACCTAAACCCTAAACCCCTGTAGAGCTTACGGTAGAGGGGATCCAAGCGCGAGATGCATACTTTTCGGGGGTTCTGGGTGGGCTTCGGGTCTTTGATTGGCTGCTTGGTTGGGAAGTTTGCGGTTTAGGGTTTGGGGTTTGAGTTGTTTTGGGTGTTTTTGATTTCCAGCGTCGCTGCCCGCGGTTCTTTGAGTAGCCTGCACCCTACCTGCAAGTCTATCTACCGACATTTTGGGAGAAAGAAAGTTTAACAGGTCCAAGCCATGAACCTGTACACTACATGCCCTAAACCGTAAACCCTCCCGACCTATAGACCCTAAACCCTAACCCCCCGGACTTCGAAAGAAAGGAGACGCCCATGATGCCCCCCGCAAAATCCTATGTAAACCCTGCACCCTGGGTCAGCCACCCCCCCAAACCCTAAACCAGAAACCCTAAACCCGAACCACCACATGAAGTCCGAACAACCACATAAAGTTTGGCATGTCCGCGCCACCCCAAACAAGCAAAGAGTGCAACTACAAAGACCCCTTCGACTCCGGAGCTGTTTTCACACATGCGGCCAAGAGCGCCAAAGCCCAAATCCCGGCCCTAGACACTAAACCCTGAACCCTACGCCCTAAGCTCTAAACCAAATCCGGAAATCGCAGTCAACCCTGGCCTGAGCTCCGAGGGGGAGACACCACGCCTGGACCTGTGCGAGGCGAAGGGCTCAGGGTTGAGGTTCATTTGGGTTTAGGGTTTAGGGTTTAGGGTTTATGGTTTAGGGTTTAGGGTTTAGGGTTTAGGGTTTAGGGTTTAGGGTTTAGGGTTTAGGGTTTAGGGTTTAGGGTTTAGGGTAGTTGTAAGTTGTAAGTAGGTTTCTAAGTATGGTAACTATACTTACAACCCTATTTAGGGTACTTATAGCCTTACTTATAAAACTACCCTGAACCTCCAAGTTGGGTTGAGGGCTTATTTGTTGCTTGTGGCTGTATTGGGCTTATGAGATTTCATTTGGCTTTATTAGGTTTGCATTGGGTTTTAATGTTTTTTAATGTTTTATAAGGGGGTTGTTGGGCTTGGTGGGCTTTGGGGGGTTCAGAAGAGGGCTTAGGCTTTTTTAATGGCTTGTAAGGTTTACAGGGTTGATGGGATTCACAAGTGCTGCAAAGGGGTTTTCGGGTGTTGATAGGTTAGCAGCTGCCGACAGCCCCACAAAACCAGTTTCCATAATTTTGCTTGTGCTGGGCGCTGATGTAACCTGAGCCCTTTCTGTGACGGGTTAACCCGTGAACTTCGCCGTGAACCCTAAACGCTAACCCCTACTCTCCAGCAACTGCTGCCTCTCACGCAACACGCGAGAAGAAAGAGTGCAGGTAACCACTGTGCATACCCTCAGCAGAACCCCTATTCCCCAGCTCTTAGGGTTTCGGGAACAGGGCGCCCTGTATTTTCCAAACCCGCTAGGGAACCGGGAACGCACCTCGACACTACATACACAATCCAAAGGTAGCTCTCAAGTAGTGTCCCTTTTTGAAGGGGAGCCTCCTTGTGTAAGCAGCTTGTGTAAGAGAGTGCCTGAAAGGGACCCTCATCCCCAACCCCAAACCCTATTCCAGAACAAGACCCTAAACCCTAAACTCCAGAGCCCTAAACCCTAAACCCTAAACCCTAAACTCCTAAACCCTAAACCCTAAACCCTAAACCCTAAACCCTAAACCCTAAACAAGAGAAGCTCCGAAGGTGGCTTGCGCCGCCTTCCGGTGTGCTGCCTCCCTGGAGGGGGCGCTGGACACAGGCAACCCTGAAGAGTTCGGGGTTCAGGGTTTAGGGTTTGGGGTTTAGGGTTTAGGGTTTAGGGTTTGGGGTTTAGGGTTTAGGGTTTGGGGTTTGGGGTTTAGGGTTTGGGGTTTAGGGCTTAGGGTTTGGGGGTTTGGGTTTTGGGTTTAGGGGTGGCATGTTCCCCCCTTATACTAACAGTCCTGAAAAGGGATGGTAATAGGGGGTACTGCAAATCCCTATTAAGGACCGTTCGTATACCAAGCTTAGGGTGTTGGGCTGTTGGAACCTGGGCCTGAGCATGCTTGCGCTGGCCCAAACCGCTGAGCCACGTGGCCTCACGGAGATGAGGGTTTAGGGTTTAGTTAGGGGTTAGGGTTTAGGGTTTAGGGTTTCGGGTTTAGGGTTTAGGGTTTAGGGTTTAGGGTTTAGGGTTTAGGGTTTAGGGTTTAGGGTTTAGGGTTTAGGGTTTAGGGTTTAGGGTTTAGGGTTTGGTGTGCCTCTCGGATGCAGACAAAGCAGCTGCGCAGGCGTGCCTGGATGTGAACCAATGGCTGCTCTCAGGAGATGTTCTGCGATCTTCATCCGTGCATGTTGTTAGAGAGGTTCCCCGTCGTCTGGCAGTGCTGGTTTGCAGATTTCAAAGCATGCTGGCGGGGGGCTTCTTCACAAGGCGGGCGCGATGTGTAGCAGCGTCCCAACTGCCAGAACCAGCCTGTCCTGTTCAGTCCGAGCCGAAGCAAGCAGCAGAAGAAGGCCAACAATCCCAGGAACGCCTTCGACCGCGGCTCATCTCGAAGGTGAGACCGTGTGATGAGACCAGCCTTTAAGGGGGCTCTAAACCCTGAAGCCCTGAAGCGCGGAAACCCTAAAAGTCGAGGGGAGCAACGAAGCTTCGGCGCTTGGAGCACTGCTAGTTCATAATGACGGTTTAGGGTTTAGGGCCTTCCCAACCACCCCCCCCCCCCCCCGATTATGAGGGGAGGGGAGGGGACGGGGGGGGGAGGAGTTGTCATCTTGGCGGAACGGAGGGTTCGCCCCTTAATTCCTACACCCTAATTTCTAGCCTTGGGGGAAGTCAGGGCTCAAGAGTTTTGTGAACTCGACACTGGCGACTTCCAAAGTTCTAGTTCTTAATCGTTGCCCTAAACCCTAAACAAGCCCCACAATAAGCTCGTGTGCTGCAACTTGTGTCCACCGTAGGTAGAAAAATCCCCCCAAGCCCTTAACCCTAAACCCCGAGCCCTAAACCCTAAACCCCAAGCCCTAAACCCGAAACCCCAAGCCCTAAACCCCCAAACCCTTCAAAAGTAGCCTTAATCAACCCACACCCGGGGCACTCTAGCCGACTCCTGGGGTTGACCTGCAAGTCAGGTTAATAAGGTTCTATGGGCCCGAGTCCGTATGTATAAGCCCCTAAACCCGGGGTTTAGGGTTTAGGGTTTAGGGTTTAGGTTTAGGGTTTAGGGTTTAGGGTTTGGGGGGGTTTAGGGTTTACTGTTTTCTGTTTAACCCTAAACCTTAAACCCTTTATGTAGGCGTGTGTACAACTGTAACCTTGCATGTATCCTTTTAAGCATAGGCAGGAAGTAAACCCCATATGACCCCCCATGCATAGTTTAAACACTTGGGGGTTTACGATAATAGGGGTACCCTCCTAGGTGTCCTTTTGAAAGGGGATTCTACTATATCTGGGGGGAAACCCTAAACCCTAAACCCTACATGCATGTCTTGTATAGCCCACCCCAAAAAACACACACCAAGTAAAGGGGATGCTACTATATTTGCTTGTAAAAAGGGGTACCCCTACCCTAAACCCTAGACCCTACACCCTAAACCCCTAAACCTCACTTGAGAGGCCTCCACTCCGGGGCCAGCGACGAAGAGTCCGTCCGAAGTATGGCAGTCGACTATGAGGCTTGCAGCAGGGTCCTACAATTTACAGGTTTGTTAGGGTTCTTGGAGGGTTTAGGGTATAGGGTTTAGGGTTTAGGGTTCAGGGTTTAGGGTTTAGGGTTTAGGGTTCAGGGTTTAGGGTTTAGGATGGTAGGGCTCAGGAGTTTCCGTTTTAGGGCTTTTCTAGGTTGGGTCCTACAATTTCTAGGTTTTTTGGGTTTAGGGTTTATTGATAGGGTTCAGATTTCCGGTCTAGGGCTTTAAGGTTGTTTGATTTAGGGCTTTCAGAGTTTATAGGGTCCAAGGTTTAGGGTTTCTCTTTCAGGATGTAGGAATTTGGGGTTTAGGGTTTTCAGGTGTATGTAGGGTCTAGGATGCAGGCTTACGGAATTCTGGGTTTTCAGGGTTTGTAAGGTCCAGGGTTTAGGATTCGATGCGTGTTTCGGGTTTTTGCGGCCTAGGGGTTTGCGTCTGGGACGGTGATCTACCCAGAGGGCCCAAGAACATAGGCTTCAGGGTTCCGGGCCTAATGTTCTTATGATGATAAGGATCCCAAAAAAAGTCCAAGGTAGCTTGAGTCCTTGTGCATTTGTTGGGTTACAGTCTCCCTTCCAAAAGTAACTAACACCAAAGAGGGTACCCTGAATTATTATAATATGCTTACTGGGCTACCAAGATTCAAGGCGCATGGTGGAAATCAGGGTCTGTCCGCTCATCGCCCTGTCAGCCATCTTCGGGACTGCTGCGCGGCCTTTGACCCCTCGTCTATAGACCACATGAGCCCTATACCCTTTTGAAGGGTGCACCCTAAACCCTAAACCCTAAACCCTAAACCCTAAACCCTAAACCCTAAACCCTAAACCCTAAACCCTAAACCCTAAACCCTAAACCCTAAACCCTCGCCCTAAACCCTAAACCCCGAATTCCTCTTCCCAGGGCCGCTTCAAGAAGGCAGAACTGAAGCTCCGCGAGGTCATGGGCAAGCGCTGGCCGACGCCTCGAAATCCGGCTTCGGGGGGTTTGAAGGCTTTTAGGGGGTTTAGGGTCAAGGATGAAGAGTTTAGGTTTTAGGGTTTTAGGGTCAAGGATTAAGAGTTTTTAGGTTTTAGGGTTTAGGGTTTCGGGGTTTAGGGTTTTTGGGTTTTTGGGTTTTTGGGTTTTTGGGTTTTCGGGTTTTTGGGTTTTTGGGTTTTTGGGTTTTGGGGTTTTGGGGTTTTGGGGTTTTGGGGTTTTGGGGTTTTGGGGTTTTGGGGTTTTGGGGTTTTGGGGTTTTAGGGTTTTAGGGTTTAGGGTTTAGGGTCAAGGGTTTTAGGGTCAAGGGTTTGGGGTGTAGGGTTAGGGTTTAGGGTCAAGGGCTTAGGGTTTAGGGTTTGGGGTTTGGGGTTTAGGGTTTAGGGTTTAGGGCGATCCTGTAGGGCTGTAGAGTTTGGGGCAAAGGGTCTGGGGCTTTTCGGTCTAAGGGAAAATGTTGGACGTGGTGTGGGATGTTTGAGCTTGATGGCTTAGGGCTTCTGGGGAGCCTGACAATCATGGGTTCCCCTACCACCCCCCTTTATACTACCCCCCTAGGTTCCCCCCGTAATTAGGCAATTTCGGGATAGTTAAGCCCAAGGTTATTTAAGGGGGGAACCTAGGGGGGGTAGTATAGACGGGGGTAGTAGGGGAACCCATGGGACAAAGAACACTTTGGCGCGTCTCACCGTGACGTGCAGGACGCCACCGAGCCCCTTTGGAGATCGACTCTCATCTACTGCTTCACTGTCAATTCCCATTACCTCATCTGATTTTTTTCGAGTTGATGTACTGATATTGTTGCTAGGTTTAGATCTAGGGCCTAAAGTTCTTGGGGGTAAAGTCGGGTTTAGGGGAGGTTTAAGCTCGGGATTCTGGGAACTCTTGTTAAATCGCCACCCCTTTCCGCGTGGAAAGTCCTTGCAGTGCGTAATGTGAGCATGCCTGTCACACTTAGCACCACCAAAGAAAAACGCTACCCAGGGCCCCTCCACCCCCAAACCCTCTACCCAAAGCCTCCACACCCTGGGTTTGGGGTTTAGGGTTTAGGCTCTAGGGTTTAGGGTTTAGGGTTTAGGGTCTGGTTCCTGAACACACGGAACTCCGAACCTTGAGGCCCGACGTGGAGTCGCCCAGCCAGGCAGGGATTGGGGTCTAGGGTTCAGCGTGTAGGGGCCCTCGTTCGTTTCCGTGCTCGTGGTCCTCTGAAAGCCAGGTTGTAGGGATGCAATAGGGATACCCTGAACCCCTAACACTCTGAGCCCAAAACTCTAATCCTTAAACCGCCCTGTTGCGGCACCGTGCCGTAAAGTTGCCGTGCTGTGCTAGGCATCCCACAATCGTCGCCAGCTCCCGGAAACCCTAAACCCCAAACCCGAAACCCTAAACCCTGGACCCTAAACCCTAACATACCTAGATCTGCCAGGCTTTAAGCGCAGTCCAAGACTTGGAGAAGGTGGCGAGCGCTCCGACCGCTGATGCAGCCGGGGCCTTAGAAGTTCGCCTTTGGGGCTTCTAGGGGCTACCCGGAGGTTCATATGGGTAGCTGTTAGGACGGTTATATGTGGTAACTATTTTTAGAACTCTGCTTTTAGGGTATGTATAACACATAACCCTACTTAGAACTAGCCATGAACCTCCAAGTAGGCCAGCGGAAGTTGTTTTTGCAACCATGTCGTCATGTGGGTTTCCTAGAGTGTCACCCACGCTCGTGATTGCAAGTTTCAGGGAGGCCCGAGCCCTAAACTTGGCAAGCAACATCCACCAGGGATGTAAGATGACCATACGCAAAGCCCAATAAGTTTGTCCGTACGTGTTTTTGCCTCAAGAAACGGTGCATAGATAGGTGGTTTTGGGCGGGAGGCAGCATGGATGTTATTGGCCAGTTGAAAACTGTGACCTTCCAGACTGGGACCTTTTTGGTTGCATGGTCATGGGTGCTCGTCTACTATGCCATCTCCCATGTGGCGGCTGGCGAATCCCCCCTAGAGGACCAGATTGGCTTTGGTGGTCATGGGAAGCCTCAGAAGATCTTCGTGTTGATGACAGAGTATGTGGTGGTTTGCGGGATAACGGTGCTCTTGTTGGAGAGACTGCATGCCACCGGTGGGAACGAGGCATTGGCCGGGGCTTTGGCCTTCTTTCCATCACCCGTCTTTAGCGGCAAACTGCTTCAGTTCTTGGGTCAATTTTCATCCAATGGCTTCAATCTTGCACTGCTGAATGTGCTGACAACCGCAGTGGTTGCTGCTGCAGTGCACGCAGCACCTCGAACTGGGCGGTTTGGCTCGCTTGGGGACGTCATGCGCGACACAGTTGGTTTTGGCTTGGGGGTTTCTTGGAACGTCCTGGTTAGCCGAAGCGAGCCCGCTGAGTGCCGACTCGCCGCCCGAACAGTTTATTTAGGCGTGGTTCTTCTGCTTGCAGCGCGTCTAGCGGCGCCACCGCCCAGCTTCGACTCCTTGAAGTCGCGCATTGCGGCATTGCTCTCCTTTGCCGTACGTGTGGTGTGTGCGTTCGCATTGGCTGATTGGCTGAAGGCAGCTCTACCGCCAGGACCTTTCTACGGCGTGCTTAGCCTCGTGGGCTTGGTTGCTTTTGCGGCCCAAATGGGCCAATTGCTCGCAGCGGCAGATCTCGAACGAGCGCAGGCGGTGGCGAAGGACAAGGCTGCCAAGCAGGGCTGGGGCTCCTGCCTTCTTCGTGCTTTGGTGTTCGTGCCCTGCGTTTGGTGCTGCTGCCCGTGGGTGCCAATTCTGTGGCTCCTCAAAAGTGGCATCCAAGGCACAACCGGCAGATGGACAGAGCTGGCTGCTGATGTGTGTTCCCTGGCAGCTTCAGTTGTAGGCACCGGCTTGCTCACAGGAGCAATTGACAGCGCAGCAGCATACCTGCAGATTTGCCAGCTGCAGGGCTGTGACGTGTTTCAGTTCCTCACCTTAGAAGTTGCTTTTGCAGCCCTTACATCCATCGTCTTGCTGCCACTGCTGAATCGGCTTACGCAGGGCCATGACCTTCATCACCCTGAAGGCGATGTAGAAGGCGTCCCTTACGTTCTTGTGCCTCCACCAGAGCCAGGCTTTGTGGTGCGATAGCTTCTGAGAACATGCCTCTGACCGGGATGCACGCAATCTCTCCGGCAACCCCTAAGCCCTAAGGCCTACTAAGCCCTAAGCCCCAAGCCCCAAGCCCCAAGCCCCAAGCCCCAAGCCCTAAGCCCTAAGCCCTAAGCCCTAAGCCCTAAGCCCTAAGCCCTAAGCCCTAAGCCCTAAGCCCTAAGCCCTAAGCCCTAAGCCCTGCACCCTTTACCCTTCAAACCTCAAACCCGAACTAAGCCCTAAAATTGAGCTGTGCTAATATTGATGCTTTGCCGCATGCTGATCATCGAAGTGAAGAGGCTGAGTCGCGCCGCCATGTAAGTCTGCGGGCAAAAACGAAACAAGGCCCGCGAAATGCAGATGGGGTTTCCGAAATTAGGGGTACCTTCTTGGGGTCCTTATTATACGGGGATCCTACTACCCTAAACCCTAAACTGGCCCTAAACCCTAAACTCCCACATGGTTCTCTGAGAGAAGGCAAGCCATTTGCAAGACTTCGTTCACAACCGTATACAGGACCTAAAGCCTAAACACTACACCCTAAACCGGAACTCTGCGAGTGACGTAGACGAATGCACAGATCCCTCGAGCTCGTGCGTAAGAGACACCAAACCGGTAGCACACGTTCTATGAGCTAGTCATTGGCTCTGCATGAGTGTGCCTTCCCATATTGTTCTCTTTTTCCTGCATATTTCCTTGGAGGAACTTGGCGGTCATGCCAAAGAGGTAATGCGCACGAGACCCTAAACCCTAAAGTTTAGGGCTTAAGGGTTTAAGGGTTTAAGGGTTTAAGGGTTTAAGGGTTTAAGGGTTTAAGGGTTTATTCACTAAATCCCTAAACGCTACAGCCCTCAACTCCAAACCCTCAGCCCCGAAGACGTAAAGACAAAAGCCAGGAATCCCAGCAGCGCAAAACATGACTTCCAATCAAGTCCCATAGGGTTTCGGGTTTAGGGTTCAGGGTTTAGGATTCAGGGTTTAGGGTTTCTTGGTCCTCAAAGCCTGCCCATGGCAACTTCTCAGAGCGCCCTGTACCCTAAACCCCAACAGAAGCCCTGGCAAGGGAGGGAGTTAAACCCTAAACCCTAAGCCCTAAGCCCTAAACCCTAACCCCATTCCCTGTAGGCCCCGGATTTCCTAGTTGAGACTTTCAACCGGCGGGGGTACATTAATAACTTCGTCTGCGGCTCACATCGAACAACTCCTAGTACTTACGGAATGGCTTTGGTTCAGGGAGTGTCGGGCATATACGTTTAGGGTTTAGGGTTCAGAGTTTAGGGTTTAGGGTTTAGGGTTAACCCTAAAACCCCTAAACCCTAAACTCGTCCCACACTCCCAAGACTCTGCAGGAAGGTCCCCAACTGCGGCGCGCCTGGCTTTTCCAGCTCCAGCGCTTGCAGGCGGCGGTGAGGGGTCTAGGTTCTAGAGTTTGGGAACTTGTATACTTTCCCTTACAGGGGATGAGAGGGTTAGGTCCTCAGGTTTAGGCTTCAGAGATTTTGCCCTATAGGGCTTTCTCGTTAGTTTTTAGGATTGAGGGGTTTAAAGTTTAGAGGCTTAGGTGTCGGATATTTTCCATTATCGGTTGTTGTGGATCATAGGCAGGAAAGTCGCCCGAGCGTTTGAAAGGCTGACTTGGATCTTTCGTTCTTGCCATACTTCTCCTGGCATTCGGGTTTAGAGTCCTGAGTTGGGGTGTGCATCGCCATGCCTCTATATACGTATGTTCGTATGTATGTATGTATGTATGTATGTATGTATGTATGTATGTATGTATGTATGTATGTATGTAGAAAACTATTTTTTGCAGATACACATATACATATATAAATATATACCTTTGTGTATGTATATTATGTATAGGACAGCTTTGAAGCAGCTCCATGGTGTGTAAGTGCGTTGTGCCTAAGGTCCCGCGCCTGATCATCAGGTCGACCCTAATTCAACACACCTTAAACCCTAAACCCGAAACCCTATATACCCTACACCCTTAGTCCCTAAACCCCTTCCGAAGGTGCCTTTCGCCTATGGCTTGGCGAGCTGCAGGCCACGTGAAGCTGCAAGATGTACAGGATTTAGGGTTTAGGGTACTTGGAGGTTCATGGGGAGATATAAGTAGGGTTATAAGTACCCTACATGGGGTTGTAAGTATAGTTACAACGATTCCAACCCTGCTTAGAACTACCCATGAAGCTCTAAGTAGGGTGGAGGATTCAGGGCCCCCGGATCCCTGCAGTCTTGTAGGGATGTTGGGCCTATCAGCTGGAGCTACCGCCTTACTTTTTGCAGGATTTTGGGGCTGATCTGGGGCAAGCTTCAGAGTTTAGGGCCAGTAAGAAGATTCAGGACGGTTGTATTCGATCCTGTAGAAGGCCGGCCGCGGGAAGATGTAGGGCCCAGGTTACCAGGTTCGTGACAGGATTGCACGCTCAGTAGCTGAGTGAGTACACTTTACACTTTTTGGGATACTATAATCCCCTATAGAACTGAAAGTGTACACTTTCTGTGGGGCTTATGAACTCAGCAACTAAGCACGAGAAACAACAAGCATCCCTTCACGCCCTCCGTCTGCACCAAGCAGACGGTCTAGCAGAGTTCAGTACGCTGCAACACAGAAATGCCCCGCGAGAGCGCCAATGGACAGCGATTTGGGTTTAGGGTTTAGGGTTCAGGGCTTGGGGCTTAGGGTTTAGGGTTTAGGGTTTAAACCCGAAAACATCTTCTTCCCTGCAAACCTGATTCTGACTGATTTGCGGACCAATCGAGTAGAACCCACAAGGTTAGTTATAAGTAGGATTTAGGGTTTAGGGTAGTTAGTTGGGATAGACGTACCAGAAAGAGCGTTAGAAGTAGAGTTCCCATACCTCTGCCCCCACTTTACTACAAGCGACCCTTCATCCTACCCAAGGTATATGGGGGTTTCCGAACTTCCTTTTATGGGGGCGGAGGCGCGGCGGAGGGGTCCAATCAAGGACCAGAGTATCCTGGGGATAAAGTCAGGGTACCATGGTTTGGAAAACCCTAAACACTAAACTCTAAACTCTAAACCCTAGCATAAAGTCCTTATATCCGGGCAGAGGCTTCCCGAGCAGCCGGCACCACCCCCGGAGCCCGACCGTGCAGTGGCAGAGGCTGCGTTTGCGAAGTTTCAGGTGTTTTGGGTTTTGGGTTTAAGGTTTCAGGTTTTAGGGTTCAGGGTTTTACGTTTTAGGGTTTTTGGGTTTTGGGTTAGGGTTTACACCGCACTTCCACTCTTGTTCTGTTTGAGGGGGTACGAGTTGCGTTGTGGTAAGCAAGGCGTAGCGACAAAAAACCGGTACCCAAAACAAGAACTACCATTGGGAGTCTAGGTTTGATGCCTTTGAAGGAAGCCAAGACTCAGATCTCGAAAAGTATCCAGAGTACCCAATACCGTTTAATTCAGGAGTAAATAGTATGCATTAAAAAGCCATAACCATAAGAAACCCCATAGTGTAGTTTAAGGTGTAATCCTTAGTTGAAGTTTTTTTTGCGGCTCTTTCAGAACTTGTTGCTGCAGTTCACATCTTGTGGCACTTGCATTGCCACCGTGCATCGCCGAAATACCGCGTAATCCTTTATCATTGGTTGGGATGTTCCCCCTGTTCCTGATAGGGATTATAGTACCCCTTGTTACAATTTCTATTAAGGACTGTTTTAGTATAAGGGGGAACATCCCAAGGTATTGGGCTCTCTGGGACTTCAACATTGAAAATCTGTGCCGTGTGGTTGTTGCAGTTCTGCGTTGCGCCTCCTTGGGGAATCGCACTTTGTTTCCTTCCGTAGATGGAGTGCAGGATGGCTGCGGCCTTAAGCATAAAGTAAAAATTCGTCCAGACACTGTAGCAAGCCTTATTCGGTGCTGATCGTTCGACAGATTGCTAAGGAAGAGAAAGAACAGTATTAACATATCGTGTGTTCCTAACTTGCAGTGTTCTGTCCAAGCAAGTGCAACTGCTCACCATCAGCCTCCTGGAACCCTAAACCCTAAACCTGAAAGCCTCAGCACCCTCAACCCCAAACCTGCAGTCTCCGGTGACACCGGCGGTGGAAGAAGATGGTGCTATGGCAGCGCTGATGAAGCTCCAGACGCAAGGCTGCAAGACGAATCCGATCGCATGGCATGGCTAACGTTTAGGGATTTTCAGGGTTGGCGGCTCAGGGTTTAAGGCGGGTGTTAGGGCTTCGTGGGCTCCATGTGCGCGCGAGTTCCTGCATCAGTATGGCACGTTGCAGCTCAGGTTGCGTGTGGGACCGAGCATACATGCGATGCAGGAGGGTTTCATCAGCACGCGGTAGAATCGATTGTTAAGAAGGCTCTGCGATGTACTCTACAGCCGGGGAGCTACGGTAGACGCGTGATTGTGTTTGTTTCGGCCTTTACTATCAACTGGTGCAAGTTTTGGGATGCGGCCCCTGATGCTGAACGTTGCAACGAACTTGTGGCAGTTTCTTAGTAGGGAATGAGTGCCTTATATCCCCCCATATATACCCCTTAAGGGTGTACATAGGTATATCCGCCCTATGTATTCCTTTTAAGGGATTATATATATATATAAACAAATAGATGTAGATATTTCTATACCATTTAAGGGTTTATATCGGGTACCTCATAGGGTCCACGCGTTTCGTGGGTGCTCACCCCCCGTTGTGTTTAGCCGAGCCGCATCCTGAGGAACCGGAAGAAGAAGGATGAGAAGGAGCAGGGTTTAGGGTTTAGGGTTTAGGGTCAAGGGTTTAGGGTTTAGGGTTTAGGGTTTAGGGTCAAGGGTTTAGGGTTTAGGATTTTGGGTTTAGGGTTTAGGGTTTAGGGTTTAGGTGTCCTGGACCAATCGAGCAAACATTTCCTCCCAACTTTCTCTTGGAGCTGACATAGGCCCTAGAACGACACGGCGAGTTGAGAGCAGAGGCGTGTAGCCGGGCTGCTCCCGAGTCAAAAGCTTGATGTAGGGTTTACAAACATAGAATACCCCTAATTA